CACTCAAGCACTGGATATCAGACCGAACGGTGGCACTACTTAAATCTCGAAGAAATATCCCAGCCGGTCCCGAACATAATCCGGTGCGAAGAGCTATTAGACGTCAAGCGAAAGTGAGCTTGCGATCTGATCGTGAAGTATGGTGGACACAGAAAGCCAAAGAAATGGAAGAAGCCCAGAAAGCCGGTAATGCCCGGAGATGATTTCAGTTGATCCGTGCGACCGGTCCCCGGAAACCACTTGTGAGTGAAACTATCAAACACCAGAATGGAACGACCATCTCGAACAAAGAAGAACGCCTCGACCAGTGGGCTGAATACTTCGAACACCAACTGTCGTGGCCACCAACCGGCACTCATCTAGGGCCCACAGGTGATGTAGAACCCTGGATGGTGAACATGGAACCGCCTGCGTCCTCGGAGGTTTACGACTGCATATGTTCTCTCAAGCGTCAACGAGCTCCCGGTCCGGATGATCTTTCACTCGCACTGTTCAAAGACGGGGTGAAATCTTGGAAGTTGTATTACTTCTGATTGTAGTGTGACAGATGAGGTGGATGCACGAATCTGCAAGGCTCGGGCCGCGTTTGCTAATTTGAGACACCTGTGGCGTCAGAATGGTTTATCCCTGAATCTGAAGGGACGTGTGTATCAAGCTACAGTACGGGCTGTTTTGTTGTATGGCTGTGAGACTTGGCCTATTCGAGCAGCGAAACTGAGACGTCTTCAGGTGTTTGACAATCGTTGTCTCAGAACCATAGCTCGTGTGGGCTGGTGTCGGCGAATCCGTAATGAGGCAGCTAGAAAGCGCGTTTCCGGTTGTATAACGGGTACTTCCATTGAAGAATGTGTCCAGCACCAGAAGCTGCGTTGGTAGGGACATGTGTTACGTATGCCGAACCATCGTTTGCCGAAGAGAGTGCTGTTTTCCATGCCCAATTCGGAGTGGCGTAAACAGAGAGGTGGCCAACCCTTGACTTGGCAGAGGAGTATGAAAGAGATCACGAAACGCTTGGGTGCTGTCGGTGCTACTCGCCTTCCAGGATGGGGACCGCGTGATCCTCACTGTGCCTGGTTGGAGATACTACAAGATATGGCTGCCAACCGATGTCACTGGCGTTCTTCTTGTCAGTTTCTATCCAGATTGCCTGAGTGAATGTCTGGAGGTATAAGCACCTCGGAATGATTGTGTTAAGCTAGCACTAAGTCCCTCCCCCGTCCACCTTTACTCTTTTCTTTAGAATAAGGCTTTCAAATAAATCATGGTTGTATGATGTTGAACACTGATGTCATGCTGTAGATGATGATGATGACTTTGTCCACTGCTTCCCTGTTAATTATACGCACACCGTGTGCCCTGGTGTTATCCAAAGATCGGTTTCTATTTTCGCAAACGGTGATCGAGCAGTGGTTATGGGTCCTATTGTCTTGAACAGGGTAGACCGTATGGTGCGACTTATACGTGCCCATCTGTCCACGTAAGTGCCGGAAAATCACAATCTACGAACAGCGAAAACCGACTGAGTTTCGGCAACTACTGTTGTACGTTAGTTTAACTGCCTTCACGGATATTCTTCCCCAAGAACGGTATCTAAATCTTCCATATTTATTTTTTATGTGTATTTGTATTCCAATCGTCGTTTTTATATTTCCCACTTATATTTTTCAGGACAATTATCGACTATTTGTCTGCAATTTTCAGAAACTACTTGCGTTACGGGAGATGGTATACAATGTCCATTGTATGCAATACCTGCCAAAAATGTCACTTCTCACGGCCATCTGGACAACCTTTCTGCTTTCCCTTATGAGTCGGAAATACTCACTCTAAAGCGGATAGCACACCGTCCCACCTATCATGTTGGACGAATTTTTAAACGGCTTTGGGAGTCAGGAACGTACTTCAGGTGGCGTCCCAGGTAACCGTACCGACTGCGACGTCGGAGTCCTCTTACATCATATCACAAATCAACACGCGCTAATTCCACTCTGGTAAGCATGCGCTCACCGGATAACGCTGCACTGGTTCATAGCTTTCCGTACGTTGTAAAAAAAATTGCCTAGCTGTAGCGACCTTTCGGTGCCCAACTGCCATGTTACCCGAAGGAAGCATGAGGGCTGGGATACTTCCAGGTCGCCCAAGCCTGGACAGGGGAAATCGAGAGGTGGAGGTCGGATTCGAACCTCTCTCTCTAGCCACGCTCTAACCACTGAACCATCTCGCCACGTACATTGTAGCAAGTGGAATAGCTGGACACGCCCAGCTACACAGTAATATTATCCCACTTGTCCCCTCTGATCGCTCATCCCGCAAGTTCTCTTGCGCTTCATATTTTTGTGGTTACCAAATTTTTAACAGTTGTAAGCGAATGACCTTTCTCTTCAGTCAAGCGCAAGTGGGCAATGCTTCCACATAATAAAAGGTTCGTAATTTTTTCATCATCGCACTCCATACAGTAATGTCCTCCTTGTTAATAAGTTTGTCACACTAGGGTAACCATTCTACATTAGACAGCCGACCACTAACAGTCCTGTTGTTTCCAGGCGTATAGCCTAGTAAAGTTTCTCGAAGGGTTTTGGCAGTGTGCAAAAGTTAACTCCTCATGGATCGATGGGAACTGTGCTACGTCACCAAAGTTCCATTCCAGAGACTTCTATAAGCCGCGCGAATTTACTGGGAGCAATCATCAAGATCGATGAAGTTAACCTGCTGAGTATTCCAAACTTACAGCGAGTGTCCTGTCAACTGAGTAGGAATTTCAAATGATTTTAAAAAACGACGTGTGCGAAAAACTCCAATATACACCTGAACTGGATACCTCCAACTGTCCAGATGGGTCGCAACGTCCAGGTTGTGAAGACTTTTCTTTCAAGAGCATCAGGGAACACAGCCCCTCTGTCCATTTCATCTCCGGGGGGATTAATGATACCGTGAATCCATCTTACTTAAGTTTCTTAGAGATGCCTCCCGAAAGTACACTAGGATGTTATCCAACTTAACATGCGCATGTCGAACGCGCGCCCAAACACTTCACGCCTATCCCATCCACATCCTATCAACCCGTAAATCTGGTGCAGCAGGCGATGTATTGTCTGCCGCAGTATGTGGTGAGCAGCTTCTCTCCGGAGATTTTTGTTTCCAATATTAGCCACCATATCCGTTCCCGGTTTCAAAACGCCAGGAGTCGTTGCGTTGCCCCGGCAGAACAATCAGCTGCTCCAGAAAAACGATGCGACTGCGCAAGACATTTGGTAACTTCAATCAGTAGGGGCGGCTCAAAATTCTGCTGCGGTCTTGCTTTCCTCCCTCGAAGCAAAACACCTAGTGAAGAAACTTTAACAGCTGGTGATTCAGTTTTATTAATCTAAGCCAATTGCTGCAGGTGAACTATTTCGGATCTTCCACTGCAACCACCTTGGGGGACAGTGTGCTTGGCTTAGACTGGCTGTTATACACATCATTGTGTTCACGTTTGCACGCTAATTGTACAGTCTAGCACCAACATTGGATGAGGTAGCATGTACAGTATTTGTTGAACCAGTCCAGTGGACAGACAGCTGTGTGTAAAAATGGGCTACCAGCCCTCAATCGCACAACCTAACCGTGTGGTTACGAACATAGGTCGTAACATTACAGTTATGCCGTAGTTTTTAACTGTAAAAAGGCTTACAAGCAGTTCAAGATCGCTCGCTAACTACATAAAAACTGTTCTTGACGGTTGTTTAAAGTCAGATTTGGCTAACGAACGTCAAATAACGAAGTTAGGAAGAACGAGTTTATGCGCCGTGATCTAACTTGGGTATAATACAGGACGTCCCAAGGGTAGTTACAGAGCGGTTATTTCGGAATATCATTATTACCACAACTTTTCGATCCTTCACTTTTGTGACCTATGAGGAGTTCATGAAATGCTCCGTAGGATTTTAATAATAAATAGAACCTTAATTTGGTTTATATGCACTGCAACAGTGCTTTTAATCGTTTGTTCCAGTCGCTCTGCGTCTTTGCGTAAGGTGTAATGCTTTTTTAAATACAGTCCCCCGGCGCCTTACACGGTCTCTACATGCATGTGATGGGAGTGTTGTTGACACAAATCAGTGATACCTAAAGCGCCATTCAGCGGCTATGTATAACTATATAGTCGAAAATGAGGTATTTACCGTGCAGGTTCAATGTGTATGTGACGAACTAACGAGAAATGGTTTCCGAGGTTGTGGTAATAGCATCAGCCGTTATTTCGTGGTGCAGTATGCGATGAAATGTCATTGTGACGCGGTCAAATAACCGTCCAATAAAAGTGAAGTATGGTTATTGGATGGTTAAATAACGGCTTGTAATTGGCATTTAACATCAAGGTAACAATCAAACGGTACCGCCGTACAACCTTATACGGCAGTTATGACGGTGCAAGTCACCACTAATGAACCATGCTTGATGGTCACTAAACCCTTATATAACTGGAACACTTGGTTTCCTCGACTGTTTGTGCTGCTAGGGTTGTCTGTGAGAACCTGGCCACCGTTTCTGAAAAAATTAGTCCACCTTCTGGGGATTCGACCCGGGCATTAGTAGAAGCTCTTCGTCCCACCGACAGCCGAAATTTTGTGTTCTGTGACCCGATCGGCAATGTAAAATCAAACTAAGCACGCGAAGCTTCATGAACTGCGCTTGCAGCTCCGAAATGTTATGGGACCGCTCACACCTGCAGGTCAACGGAGTCGGCGGGTAACAAACTAATACAATTGTCCAATATGCTAGGGTCAGCAAGAAAAGCGGGAACCACGAGGTCCACTTGAAGGGACAGTAAACATGTTGAAACAGCTCTAGTTCGCCGAATATTAAACCGGAATTCAGTACCACTATTGTCACGCACCGTTCATTTATTCCAGATTCCATCAAAAGCCGACTTTTGCTGTTCAACGGGGTACATTTAAAGGGCGTGACCTTGAGCACGAATTGTTTCAGTTTGTTTCACGGATTCACGGATTGATACACAGGATCGAGGCTTTTGCCCAAGATTCCCGGGTCGGTTTTGTTCTTGTCGGTCAGTGGCTGTCGTTCACCTGAAAGGCACAAGTGAAAAAAGGGTGTAGCACTGCTCTTTATGTTCTCAGCGCGAGGCAGTATGCTCGCCAGCGCGAGGATTCGCATAAACAAATGTCTAACAGTGCTTTAAACTGGGTTCTAGAAGGAGCGTAGACAACCGTCGGAGGAAGGTCATTCCACGCAGCTACTACCCGAAATGAAAAAAAGTTTTGTCTAATGAATGTGTGTGCCCTGAGCTTGAAGATTTTCTTACTATGTCCCCGCCGGGTGTTTGCTGGATCAACGGTAAAAAACCTGTTTGCCAAGCTTTGTTCAACGGATTTGAGGCCGGCAACCATTCTCGTGGCGGCCCGCTGGACACGCTCAATGAGGGTGACGTCTTTCGCACGTCCAGAGTAGACAACTTGGTTGGCGTACTCCAGGAGCGGTCTGACGTAGGCCCCATAGGGTATTTGGAAGTCCATGCGAGTAATATGGGAGAAGGTACGTCGGATCATCCGTAAAACGGCGAATGCCTTTTGGGCCGATTTCTCATGGTGTAGTGCGAAGGACAAGTTTGAGGAGACCCAGATGCCTAAATCTTTTTTGGGATCTATCCTCATGATGTTTTCTGGTCCCTTTTCACCATGCATAACAAAGGCATTCGTTTTATTGGCATTTTGGTTTTAATTCATCAGCCTGCTGTGGGAGAGGTTCACATTGCGTTTGACTTATTCCAACTCATTTTTTTGCGCATCCTAGTTTCGGTAGGTTTTGTTTTGGGTGGTTAGTACGTGGAATATCTTTTTTCGATTATTGTTCGATCTGCATTTGGGACACAGATCAATTCAGCTTTCGAAAACCTCTATAGATGGTTCATCCGGCCGGTGAGCTTCCTAGTAAGCGCTAGAAACTGAGTCAGGAGCGCTACATCTTTCTTTCGCCTGTCCCTGTCAGGCGAACGGAAGCCGTTGAACGACTGGATGATGCCCGACTTGTGAATTAGATGAAAGTCCTGTTACCGCTTAGCGTGCAGTGAATCAGCGAGGCAGTTCGGGCTGCAGAGCCTAAGCCAGGGTCGTGCGACTTAACGCCTCATATGCTGTTATTCCGGGAAGGAACGGAGAGTTCATGCGAAATGGTACAATTTTACATAAGTCCTGGTCAACTTTCCTGGGCGTAGTGCATAAAGCGTAGATGACGGTGCTTAGACCTAAGAATAACATCAGAAAGAGCACAGCGTATTGTGCAGAATATGGTTTACCGTACCGCTTCTATTCTTCCTATTTATTTAAGGAAGTCAGTGCGCTCCTGGTTCACGTGTTCGAAGGAAGCTACTTGATAGACTCGTACTGTACTCGCATATCGGGTGAAGCAACCGGCCAGAATCCTTGGCATGTATGGATGTGATCCGCAGAGATCACTGCATAAGAGCAAGTGTGTACACGTGCGTGCGACAATAGTCCGAGAGGTGAAGCCGGTTTGGTTAACTTGACAATGGTGGGCCTATCTAAGAGCAGTAGTTAGCGCTCGCTGAATTATCAGATCGTATGTGACCAAGGGGGACGGCTCGGTGGGGGTGCTTAGGTATGTATCGTACAGTCCATCGACGATATAGGAGGACCACAGTTCGGAGTTCTAAGTGATGACAGTTGGGTTGTGTTTTTTTCTATGGAGCTCTTTCGTTCTTCAAGTTTGTTGTCCTTGTGGGGCTATCTTTCAGCGAGCTTTGGCTTCAAATTCCCGTGTTATCCTAGTGGACGTCAAAGAATAACAAGAAGATAGCTCCATACTGATGGGTTGTAATATATTCTGTGACGTGCGGTAAAGAGAATATGGCCCGATCTATCTTAATGAGCGTTCTCCTTAACACGACTGACGCTGTAGTTGGTTACGAAGTATCCGCGATTTTTTGTTCGTTTGATTTGATTTCGGTACCGAGAAAATTCACGAAATGGGCCACCGATTCTTCGCCAACCGTAAAATCTAACAGCAGATTTCTACCAATGAAACATTGCTGTGTTTACCCGCGCCGGATGCTGTCTTTGTGAGAACGTTTGTGGCCAACAGAGTGAGTTACTCAAACTGCAGGCACTGGACAGCTTCATATGGCCCATTCAGGAATGCATATTTCCATAAACCACACGACAGCGACCGAACTCGCTAGGTGTGGTATGTTTTATTGTTTACAAATTTGAATCCCCTCATCTCACTTCTACGCCATTAGCTTCGATGCCCAAACAGGACTCTAGTTTCTCCCGATGCGTCTGTAAATACGCGGTACGTGCGTCCGTTCTCAACTATGGAGTATGTTAAGGGACGTGCGTCGGGTAGATTCGATGGGCCATTCGGTTGTCACCACATTCATCAGTGTTCATACGACCAAGCATAGTATTTTTTCACTATCTATCTAACAACGAGCGCCCTCATGTCCGCCTGCTGCTCTCGAGATCAGCACATCCGCTAGCAATGGGAAGAAAAGAGTGGTTAGAGTGGAGGTAGGCATCCATAGGTGAAATTTGACTAAACCCCGGAGATACTTAGTTGGACAAGACAGCAATCAAAGCCACCTCCTCTGGAGCAGACAAATGTACATGCAACTACAGGCACCGCCTATGCATATATGTATACATCATAATCAGCGGCTTGGCCTGTTCTCATAAACAAGCGAGTGGATTGTGTCCTGAGCACACTAAGCAAGCAAACCAGACGACGATCAATTTGGACGCCACTCATGTCCGCCTGCTGCTCTCGAGATCAGCACATCCGCTAGCAATGGGAAGAAAAGAGTGGTTAGAGTGGAGGTAGGCATCCATAGGTGAAATTTGACTAAACCCCGGAGATACTTAGTTGGACAAGACAGCAATCAAAGCCACCTCCTCTGGAGCAGACAAATGTACATGCAACTACAGGCACCGCCTATGCATATATGTATACATCATAATCAGCGGCTTGGCCTGTTCTCATAAACAAGCGAGTGGATTGTGTCCTGAGCACACTAAGCAAGCAAACCAGACGACGATCAATTTGGACGCTACGTAAGCCATTTGATTTGTGTACGTACGGAGAGATATCCTTAACGCTGAAGCACCAGATGCCGAGGCATTTTCAAACAGGCTGAAGGAGACTAATAAGGATAACTAATCAGAGTATCAAGGAGGGTTTGTGCGGGCAAGTTTAAGCAAAATCACATAGACAAGGACCGTCCAGGGAAGACAGTTCGATGAATTTTTATGGAAAATTCGTTATACCAACCATACAAGCATCAGCGAACACAGGTATATCAACCGGAATGCATTCATTCGTCGATCGACAAATGGAATGGGATAGCGTGCCGTGCAGTTCGATAGAACTTGAGGGAGAAATTGGCATATTACAGTGTCTGATGAAAGTGCGCGTACCCGACTGGCTGGACATTCAGCCAGTATGTTTCCGTCAGTGATCACGTTCGGGCTCCAATGAATCAACCTATTGGAGCGTGGTTCAGGGACTTGTCCGTGGACAGTGCATGTTGTAACTGAAAAGCCCAAGATGCCTCTAAACTGCGCCCCTTGAATTAATGGGAACAGATCACCTGGAGTCAATGATTCTTGGGGCCTTTTGAAGGAGTTCTTGGTTGGCATATTTGTTGAGGAGTCTCCATATACTAGCGAATTCTTACTGAAGAAATAGGCGACCACCAACGGTGTTAATTATTTTAATTGCAGGGAAGACCGATACTGAGAGTCCTGGAAGGGACTGTCGCGGCACCAAAATCGCCTCACTCAGTGGTTTATAGGATTCAGCATTATGGGGCAATTAATAAGTTTCCTCCTACATGTAGATTCTCGGCCCGCCGACCTCAAGCTTCGTCGAACTACTTGAAAGGGTTATGCGACCAGCCCGGATTAAGTGCTTCACAAGCCTTTGCTTAGTGAGGTTATTCGGAACGCTGTTTTCAGCACCTACTGCGATACGATTAGGATTTTTCTGCCCTGCTAGTTCAGCTCGGTGTTGATTTTGGGCGTTAGCTGGGATGCTTCAACAGACTCTCAAAATGCCCCTGTCATTGGTTGCGTTTATTTCAAGGCTCTATGGGTGCCACCACGAAACTTTGACCTATAACCGAACGTGTACGTCTTTTTCTCCTTCCTATTTAATCGCTATCGCAATGTCACCGCGCCCAAAATCTGGTTAGCTTTTCTTCATGCCTCGTACACTGGAAAAGCAGTCTTAATATCCGAAGGTGTTTTATTTCCATCATATCCACTTGCTCACTGTAGTGGTCCCCTTATACTGGCCATGTAGTTATGCGGTGCTCTGTGCTAGGCGACAGACACGGGAAATTTTCGGGTTAGCCCTCGCAAACTTTTACCTTTTGTCCAGCATTCGTATCCACATACTTAAAAACAAGCTTACTGATGGCAACTATACTCTCAAGAAGTTCAGAATATATTTTAATGAGTATTAGCATAGATTCAACAAGAGGAGTTTTTCAAAGGCGTTGAGGTACCAAGTCTTTCTTCTTTGTGAATTTTGGGCCTCCTCTGGAAGGCCCCACTACAAACCTGCTGGTGTCGTACAAACGGCAAGCCATCAATGAGATCTACCACGCTCGCTTTGTCATCTTTGTGCTCTTGAGCTTACTACTTACTGCCTGCTAACGTCTCCTATGACGACTACGTCTACCGCCAAACCAAATGCCGCCCTGTGCACACACTCAGTTTATTCTTCAGACACAACGTCCACACTCAATCACCTCAGAGGCTGGTATAAGTAAATAAAAAACAATACGGTTCCTGATTCATAAGTACTAGCATTCGGAGCTTTTCGCCATGCGCCACCTGCCAACTAAAGCTGAAGCAGTTCTTCAGTGGACCGGCCACCCATGCCCCCACATCCACTTGCTCTTCTAGATTATGGCACTGCTCAGCATGCGTAGCAACATTCAGTCAGAATAGTTGATGATTCCCCCTGTGAGTCAACGGTGAACAAGGGTAACTTCCTTGTTTTCTGACCACCCACGAGTAACATGACTTGCACCTGTTTATTAGGACACCGTTTCGTCTTCTTGCTGCTCGTTTTTCCCCCGCTTTGTTCCTACTTAAGGTCTGCTTATCCCTCAGTAAGCGATGTCAATGTTTGTTGCCCGTCTGTCATTGCCTGCAAGTTCGCCTCGATTGCACCTATTTTTTGAGCGCCCACTCCGACCGGGTATGGAACCCGGATCCTCCGGACGGCAGGCGAACGCGCTACTGACTACACCAACCTGACAACCGGAGCGGCTGATTATTTTGTATTACCCATGTACCGCACCTGGCAGATACCCTTTGCCAAGATTCGTTTTAAACGGACAAAACCGCGCAATCCGACCTGCCGCGCGACACGAGCGGCTGCGTCGACGCCGACCGAAAGACAGCCCCTCACATCCCTGACGTACTGACTCCTGCGCCGTCACGGCCAATTCACACTGTCAGACTGCCCCGATATGTGTGTTTGTGCATCGTTTGGTACTTACTTCTTGTTGTCCCTACAGAAACCCGTGCTGCGTCAGTGACTACTTCCCGCCCCTGCTGAATGCGTCATTGTTGATTGTAAGTTTGCTTAATTCATGATGCTTACTAATCCGTTTTTCTGTAGAACCAGTTCCTGTCAGTCCTCAATATCTGATCTG